TTCTTTTTTTTTTTTTTTTTTTTTTTTCATTGTGTAGAATCCTTTTTTTAATATTTTTCTTTTTAAAATTTCTTTAAATATATTCTTTTTTAATACAAAACATCCGTTACTTAACTTTCTTGTTTTTCAATTCCGTTTTTTCAATTAAAAAATTAACAAAACTTTATTAAAATTTTTCAATAAAAAAAAAATATGATTTTTAAGATAAAAAAAAAAAGCAACTTTTTCATATATTTTCTCTTTTGTTGCACAAATAATGTCTATTTTTCAATTATAGCTATCCTTAAATACTATTATGAAAAAAGATATCCATTAAAATATATTTCTGTTAGTAAGAAAGTATTACGATGAAAAAATAAAATTTACCTTTTTTTTTTATATTAAAAATTAATAATCTACCTTCACATTCTTTATTCATATATAATTATTATGTTATTGAAAAAATTAGTAAAATATTACATGAACTGATAAGAAAAAAAAAAAAAAAAATGCTTACATATATATGTAGAATAGCAATATTAACAATATTAGTTCAAAAAATATTAATGCTGTAAAAAATAAAAAATTTATGTAAAATTTATCTTTTTACATTAAATTTTAAAATGAATTTTGGAAAAAAAAAAAATAAAAATAAAGAGTGAATCCTTTATAAAAAATTCATATAAATGAAATCATTAAGAGTATTTTAAAATAATATTAATAAGTAATAAAAAGTTATGTAATATGGAGAATTATTTTTCTTTATAAAATTATTGAAAATATTTATTTCTACGAAGTAAATGTGCACATATGCAAAATGGTTAAGATATATAAAATATAATGTTCTTATTATGACACTTTTTTATTTTTGTATCTATTACAAAAAAAAAAAAAAAAAAAAAAAAAAAAAAAAAAAAGAGAATTTATGAAATAAAAATTATACATATATTCTTATTTTATTTTTAAATTTAATAATCAAAAATAATATGTAAATATCTTTCATTCGTCATTAATTTTAAAAAAAAAATTTTGTTTATTACTTATTATTTTATGGATAGACAAACATTTAAAAAAAAAAAAAAAAAAATATATAAATATATATAAATATATATATATATATATATATATATATATATATATATATATATATATATATATATATATATATATATATATAAAGAGAAAGAAAAAGAAGAAAAAAAATTTAAATAAATATATTAATAAAATAATTTCATATTGAATTGTTAAAAATTATTATATTGTTAAAAGGAATTTAAAATAATTAAAAAAAAAAATATATTCGTGTTCGTAGATTTTAGAAAATAGTGTGTCGTATTTTAAAAAATGAATAATTCAAATAAAATATCTTTAATTGGTGAAAAGAAGGATATAAATAATTCATATAATACGAAAACTTTATGGGTTGGTGATTTAGATAAAATAAAGGATGAAATAGTTGATGAAAATTATATATTATATTGTATGTTTTATGAATTTACAGATGATATAATAAAAATAAAATTATGTAAGGAAAAAAATTCTCAAAAAAATTCATATGCTTTTATTGAATTTTCTAATTTTGAAATTGCAAGATATTGTTTTGACAATTTAAATGGAAAATGGATACCGGGAAAAATTCACAAATTTAAGTTAAATTGGGCAAAATATAACATGACTGATAATATAAATCAAAGTGAGAAAAACTTAGATGTAGAATTAGATGATAAAGGAACATATTCTATTTATGTTGGAAGTTTGCCTCCATGTACAACAAAAGAAGAAATTGAAAATTTATTTCGTAATTTTTATAACAGTATTTGTTTTGTTAAAATGATAAAAAATTGCAATAAAAATCAGAATAAAATTTATTGCTTTGTTCACTTTTTTGATTATGAAGAATGTATTAGGGCTTTAACAGAAATGGACGGATATATTTTGAAAGGATATAAAATTAAGGTAAGTAAATCTAATGGAATAAAAATAAATAACTCAGAAAATAATAATTACTGTGCTAATCAAAATTATAATTTAGATAATAATAATTTAAATAATGGCCATATAAGAGACTTCAATGTACATAAGAACAAGCTAATGAATAATGTCACTGATGAACAAAAAAAAAACAAAAAAAATTATTATTTCTATTACAATAATTCTAATAATGAATTAAGTAATGCATATAAAATTAATTACTATGATTATGATCATCTTAATTCAAGTATTAACTCTTATCATGGATACAATAATAGTAATATTTTATATGATTCAAATAATTACAATAATCACATAAATCAAATAAGTAACTACAACGTTAACATGAACCAGAGTAATAACTATATTTCTGATACTAATCAGCTAAATAATTATATTATTAACTACTCTAATAAAACAGACAATCTCATAAATTACAACATGAATAATTTAAATCATATGAGTAATTTTAATTATGCTTATTCAGAGAATAATGGAAAAATTAATTTATACGAAAAAAAAGATATAGATAAAATAAATGATATTAGCATATTTTCTGAACAGAAATTTAATGACACAAAAGAAAATGAAGGAATACAAAAAGAATCAAACTCTTTTTGTGAAAACTTGTATGAGTTAAGTCTATGTAATAATACATTCTCAAATGAGGATTATAATAATTTTAGAGCTTCAGCAAATAAAAATAATAGAAATAATGATAATAATAATATTAGTAATTATGAAAACAATATTAATAATATAAATAAACATGACATTGATGATAATGATAATAGAAGCATTAGTATTAATAATAGACACACAACTAATAATGATAGTATTCATAACAATAATAATAATACTTATAGTAGTATTGACAACAATAATAATAATACTAATAATGATAATATTGATAATAATAGTAATAATACTAATAATGATAATATTAATAAAAGTAATAATAATATTGATAATATTAGTTTTATTAACAATGAATGATAGTAATAATAATATTAATATTGTTTGTTTTAATAAAAATAATAATAATAGAAATAATTTTAACTAATGGTACAGTATACAGATAATAATGAAAATTTTTTCTACATTAAAAAAAAAAAAAAAAAAAAAAAAAAAAAAAAATGAACGAAAGATATTTTACTTAGATAAATGAAATAATATTTATGACATAGATATGGCTAATAAACATTTATTAAAAACTAAAATATATACTAAATATTAAATGAAGAAAAGGATAAACTGTTAAAGATATAAAAAGATAAACAAATATTTCATGACAAATTAAATAACTTCAAATATTTAAAAAATATGAGTAATAAAGAAAATTTATATAAGTATAATATTTAATAATAATATTATATATGCATAAATATATAATATGGAAAAGATATATAATATTTATATTCTCAAATATTTTATAGAACATTTAGATGTAATATTCCTATATATACCTAATAATATATTCTCTTAATATGTTAAATCAATTTATTGATAAAACATATATTATTAATTCAAACTGCCTTTATATATATAATACGAAATATTATCTATTTTAAAAATTCAAAAAGAAAAATTATGTAATAAATAATATTAATTGAAAATTTAAATAATTTTTTTTTTTTTTAAAAAAAGAAATAATTCATATGATTCACTGAATTCAGGTAAATTTTTTTTTTTTTTTCTTTTTTTAGTTATATGAATTTTTCTTAACTTTATTTGGTTCTAATATTTCTGTGTAATTTTGTAATTTTTATTATTCTATATTACAATCTTCATATTATTTTAAAAAAAAAAAAAAAAAAAAAGTTCAAAATTTCTAAAATTATATTTACAACATTTTTTATGTGTATGATATTTTGTCTTAAAAATAAAGTAGAACTTTTTTTTTTTCATTTTAGTATTTATTTTTTTTATGTTACGTGCTTATTCTTTTATTTATCAATTTAAGCACTTTCTTTTTTTTTTTTTTTTTTTTTTTTTTTTTTATAATTTAGTTTTTATCGTTAAATTTTAAATATCTTTTGTTAATTTATTATTTATTTTTTTTCACATTTTCCATTTGATGATTTTGTACATATGTTATTCCTTATTTTACAAATCTTTTTTTTTTTTTTTTTTCCTAAATAAATAATATATCATGGCGTCTCTAAAAATAAAATATATATATATATTTTTTTTTTTTTTATTTTGTTATACTTAAGACAAAAATATGAAGTAATATACTATAAAAAACAATACATTTAATAATATTAAGTTTATTAATAAATCTAGAAATAAAAAAAAAAAAAAAAAAATAGTTTCTTTATTTTTTTTTGTTAAACAACTAAATTTAATGCAGTAATAATGACAGAAAAAAATCCCATGAATGAAAAAAAAAATAGCATAAATAAAGTTATATATCTTTTAAACTTATTTTTAACATTTTTTCTATTTTTAAAATAAATCAAATTGGGTAAAAAGCTGAAAAAAAGAAAAAAGAAAAAGTTTATTATTTAAAATAGAAAAATTACATTTTTGTAAATATTTTTAAATTTTTTATATTAAAATATAAATAATATATATATATAACATTATTTTGAACTTGTATTTTTTTTTTTTTTTTTTTTACCATGATATCAGAGTAGACGTAATCCCTCCTCCTATTCCAATAACATTAGATAAGTTTTTCACATTACATGCAATGAGAGCACAAATAATAGTTATCACAGTTGAAACAAAAATTCTTTGCTTTTTGTCAGAAGTTTGTGATTCATTCAAACTTGAAGTGTCCGTATAATTATCGAGAGTAATTTCTTCTAATGGATCAACTGAATTATCTCGTAATACTGATGATAAATTTGTAATGTATCTATTTCTTCTTAAAATAAAGAAATATATTTTATAAAAAATATTACGAATCCCTAAAAATAAAGATAGTAAACTTTGATATGAACCCATGAAGTTCAAAGGAATCGAAAAAAAAAAGGTTATAGATAAAAGGAATTTACAAAAGAGTATGGATATATTTGTATTTTCATAATTTAATACAATATTATCTTTTGCTGTATTTAGAAAAGATAGATATCCTAAAATACCAAATAATGTATAAAAAATTACTTGTAACATAATACTTCTATATGCTGATTTATTTATTCTTCTATGAGTTGGTTGATTAAATTGACCCGTTATAAAACAAGCATTAGGTTGTTGAGAGAACGAAAACAGCAAAACATTAAAACATTTAAAGAAGTTTCTGTCTATATTAAATAGTACAATATTTTTATTTTTTAATATATTAAAATAAGAGTGTGCTTGAATGCCTATAGTTATTACAGTAATTGTTAATGAAAATAAAGAAAATGTTAGAAAATAATTAAGTGTACCAACTTTATTTCGAAAAGTTATTGGTAGAATTAATAGGCATACAATGACCACTATAAATATATTATTACATAACAAAGCTGGAAAATTGAATACATAAAATATACTACTTAAAAAATCACTCATTAAAATTAAAATTAGTATAAAACTTGAAACGTATCCAAAAGATAGGCCAATATCAATAATAGTTTTATGATAACTTTTACCAATTTTCTTTAATAAATTACCATATACAAAAGTGTTATGTTCTAATGATGATAAACATAAAATATTTGTAGTAACATATGATTCAATTGAATTAAAAAATATCAAGATCAAACTTAAAATTATTCCTAATTTCGAAAAAACATAAGGAATTGATAAAAAGCCAACACCTATAGCTGTACATATAAATAGAACTGTACTAGATCGTACACCACCAGGTGTAAAACGGCTAAAGGTTCTTCCTTTCCAATTTTTATTTTTATTTTTATTTTTTTCAACATTAATTTCTTCATTTATAGTTTTATTTATACCTTCTTTATTTTCATTATTATAATAATCACTTTGATTACTTTCGTAATAATGTAGATAAACATTTTTGTTATCATCATTCATATAAATGTACTCATTTGTATTTATTTTCTTTTCATTTATATGTATATATTTATCTACCTTTTTACTATTCTTTACCTTTTTATCTCTCTTTTTTTCATCTAGTTTATTAGCTGAAAGAGGATTATTATTATAGTTTTTTACTAAATGGTTGTTATTATTTACACTTATGTGTTTTTCATTATTTTTCATTATAATTTTATCACTGTTATTAGCGGTATTTATATAATTTTTTTTATCAAAATTATTATTTATATTCATAATTTGATCTGATATATTTTTGCTTTCTTTTTTAAGCTGATAATCACTCTCTAGTCCATTTTGATTCATTTTAAAAAAATAAAAAAACTACAAAAAAATAAAAAGGTAAAAATTTATAATTATTTGCATATGGTTATAAAGATGGGAAAAAAAAAAAAAAAAAAAATAGTCATATTTTTTTTTTTTTTTTTACATGATTCTTTAGAATTATTAAAATTAAATGTATATTATATCATCTATATAACAATATATATGTCTATAAATTTATGAAAAAAAAAAAAAAGGGAAAGAATTTAATTTTAAGATTTTAAATATTTTATCCTATATATAAATCTGTATATAATTAGAAATAAATAGAACATTATGAATATATTATATATATATATATAAAATGATAAAGATTATAATTTTTACTTAAAATATATTTGAAGATTATTTTATTCTTCAAACAATATTTCTAACATAGATATGATTTACCACCAAAAATTCTTTATATAAATTGAATGTTATTGAAAAAAAAATAATCGGATTTGTGAGATAAAAACTTCAAAAAGAGTTTTTAAAAGAATATGCAAATTTTAGATACTTTTTAAAAAAAAAAAAAGATAATAGAAATGAAAAAAAAAAAAAAATAAATTAAAAACTAATAATTAAAAATAAAAAAAAAAAGAAACTTCATCTAAATCATTATAAGTAAAAAAAAATTAACAATAAGTAGAAAATATATTTCAATTATTACTAAAATTAAAAAATTTGTTAAAATTAATTCTAATAAATTAAAAAAATAAAATTAAAAATAAGAAGAATAATTTTTATAAAAAAAATATATATTAAAAAAAAGAACTTAAATTATTTAGAAAAATAAATTCATAATAATGTATAGAAATATAGAAACTAAAATTAACAATTAGTATGAATAAGGTAATGAAATAAAAATTAAAAGTTATCAATGAAAAAAAAAAAAAAAAAAATAGAAAATAATAATTAATAATATCTAAAAAAGAAATAAAAATTAATAATTACATGTAAAAAAAAAAAATTTTCAAGTTTTTTAACATTTTCAAGTATTTTAACATTCTCAAGTATTTTAACATTTTGAAGAATTAAAAATTCAAGTATATATACTTTTTCAAAATTTAAAAAAAAAAAAAAAAAAAAAAAAAAATCTGCATATTTAAGATCTTGCTATATAAATGCATACATAATTGTTGTAATAATAATTTTCTTTTTTTTTTTTTTAATTTTTTTATTAATTATTTTAAAATATTTTAAAAAAAATTTTTTTTCTACATTTTTAATATTTTAATAATTTTTTCTCATATGTAAGAACAAAAAAAAAAAAAAAAAAAAAATTTGTGTACGTCAATAAAATTTCTTTTTATTGATATACAATATAATAATGAAATAGAACGTAGATTTCATTCTTCTTTTCAATTTTTTTTTTATATGTTTTTTTTTTTAATATTTTAATTTTTTATGAGATGAGAAATATATTGAAGCACTTTAATATTTTGAATATATCAGCTGAAGATAATCCTTTTATAACTTTAAATGTAGGAAACTAATTAAAATAATTATATGTATCTAAAAAAGAATATAATAAAATAGAATGAATGTTGAACATACATATATAAAATGATATATTTTAGCTTATTATATTTTTTATTTTTTATATTTATATATATCATTTCTATTTCATATTTTATATGTATATATTTTAAATGTATATATTTTAAATGTATATATTTTAAATGTATATATTTTAAATGTATATATTTTAAATGTATATATAAAATATGCCTAAAATATATAAATCTTATATGAATATATTTAATTTGTATATTTTACTTATAGTTGTTAATAGCAGATTGTAAAGATATTTCTAATAATAATGAGTTTTACGATGAAACTTTATGTGTTGCAATACTTGATAATATAATTAGTGAAAAGGAATTAAAAACATTTTTTTCGAAGTTTGGAAGAATTAAATCTTTCAATATTTTAGAACGAAAGCATTTATCAACAAACTTTAAAAATTTTGTTTTTTGTGTATATATAACATATGAAGAGAAAAATATAATAGAGAATATTTTGTCCTATAGTGTTCATATAAATGACTATTTCAAACAAAAAAATCAAGCTCCCTTTATTATAAATTTTGAAAAAAAAAATTTTTTATACTTTGTAAAAAAATATTATGATAACTATTATAATTTATATAACGGGAGAAAAATAATTATTAATGATATTTTAAATTTATGTAAAGAAAACAAAGTAAAAAAAAAGTTAGATGTAGTAGATGAAGATGGGTTTACAGTTGTTCAAAGAAGTTCAGACAAACCAGAATTTATGAATTCTATATTTTCTTCAAAAAACGAAAAATTTAACTATTTTAAAAAAAAAAAGAAAAAAAAAGTTCATGAGAATTTTTATTTATTTAGAAAAAAAGAAAATTTTAAAAATACAAATGATACATTTAAAAAAAAAAAAATAAACATAAAAAAAAAAATGATAAAAAAAAATTAAAAAAAAAAAGTTATATATATATATATATATATATATATATATATATGTTTATGTATAATATAATGAATAAAAATAAAAAAAAAAAATTAAAAGAAAATTTATAATACAATAAAAAAATAAGACAGAATCAATTAAATATAAAATATTTACAAAAAATTAACAATAATATATAAAAAAAAATATTTTAATAAAATAATAATAAAATTTTAAAATATTAGATATATTTATGTTATTTCTCTATTTTTTTTAGAAATATTTGAACATATTTTTTTTATTAAAATATATTTGTTTATATTTTTTTTTATTTTTTTTTTTTTTTTTTTTTTGTAATCTATTCATTAAAACATTTACATAAGAAATACATAATAGAAGATAAAACTTATTAATTAAAAATTATTATTAAATGAATAAAATATGTAAATGATACCAATTTTTTAACATTTTTAATTAATTCAAGAAAAAATCTTTAAAAGAATTATTAAAAATTAACATTTAAGTAAATTGTTATTTGTTATTTTTAAATTTTTTATAGATATTTTTGTTATAATTAAAATGTATTTCTTTCTATATATACTATTTTTTTTAAATAAAAAAATTATTTTCTAAGATATTTCGATGTATTTTTTTTTAAATCCTATTTTTTTAATATTTTTTTATATGCATATTTACATTTTATTTTTTAACTATAAATATTTTTTTAATTTACCAAATAAATTTATATATTTAAAAATTCCTTTTTTTTTTTTTTTTTTTTTTTTCTTTAAATTACTAAAAAG